GACCCAGCAAGTGCACAACAGGCACAGGAAGAACTCGGCCCTTGGGGCTGTTTGAATCAGGAACCACATTTATTTTATTGCCTTCAGCGATTTTCAGGGTTCCTGTTGCCTCTTCGCCCCCCCTCCCCTGCCCTCCGGCGAGCAGCAGCAAGCTCAGGGCTGGATCCCAGCTCTCGTGCCAGTATTTGGGTCCGGTCCGGCCGGGAAGGTTGGTTTCCAGTGCTGCCAAGCCAAGGGTGGAGCTGAGGTTTGTCCCAGCTACGGGGGGAGCTTTGGGTGCATTCACCCCCTGCCGCCCTGCGGCCCCAAGACCCCAGCGTCACTCTCGCCACAGGCACGCCCATTTCACAGCGCCCAAAGCGCCACCACACAGAGCCCGGCCAGGGCTGCATTATGACTTTCGTGGGCCCTAGGCACTATTGCCTTTGTGGGCCCCTTCCTCCATAAAAAATAATATTAAAAATTATTTTGCTATTCCTTTAAATACTTCAACATGTGTTTTTTCTGTTTTAGGAAAAATTTAATAGATTTTCGTGGGCCCTAAAAGTTTTGTTTTTTTCTGACGTGAGAAAAAAATTAAAACATTTTCTTCGACCCTAAAAGTTCATTTTTTTTCTTCTGATTTTCAAAGACATTAAAACATTTTCGTGGGCCCCTAAAAGTATCGTGGGCCCTCGGCCCTGTGCCTAATGGGGAAGTCGGCTCTGAGCCCGGCGCGCCTCGGCTGGGGGAGCCGGAGCCCAGCTCTTCGTTTGGAGCGAAATGCCTGCGCCACTTGCAGCGACGCAAAAGCCACTGCCGGGCAGACGAAGCCGCCGTCGCTCTCGCCCGCTGCGGCACCGCACTGGACTCCCAGGCCCGCCCCCCTGCGCTGGAGCCAGATGGAGGCAGGCAAGGCATCGCCCAAGGGTGCGCCTGGGCGGCTCTTCGGCTGGTGCTGGTCATTGCCCGCGCAATGCTCAGGGCTCTGCTTTCGCATCGACGCTCCTGTAAACTGGCCTGAATAATGGGCCTGGGAAGATGTTCCTAGGGCGCCAGCGGAGCTGGAGTTCGAAGACAAGGGTGTTGTGTATGTGTTTAACTCCCCCCCCACGCACACGCACACGCACACACACACGTATGCACACGCGCGCACACGCACACACACACGCACACGCACACACACACGTACGCACACGCGCACGCGCACACCCGCACACACACACGCACACACACGTACGCACACGCGCACGCGCACGCACACACGCACACCCGCACACACACACACACACGCACGCACACACGCACACAGACACACATGCACACAGAGACGCGCACACGCACAGACACACACAGAGACAGACGCACACACAGACACACACACGCAGACATGCGCACGCACACACAGACACACAGAGACACACGCATGCGCACACACACAGACACACACAGAGTTCGACTCTTTTTACCCCTGGGCAAAATTAACCTTCCATTGAATTGGGGTGGCCCCCCGGACTAGCCTGGTAACGAATACAGCTTCCCCCCAGTCCTCTCACTGGCCCTAGACGGGGGGACCAGACTGAAGTTGCTGGCGCTAGAGAACGCTGCCCCTCACGGCAGCACATGGGGCCAAGTGCCCCCCAAGGTCACACTGCAAGTCAGTAGCAGAACAAGGAATTAAACCTCGGCCCCCTACGTGCAGGGCTGGTGCTCTAACCACTGGGCAGGCCCCCCGCTCTAAGCCCAGCCTCCCCGGGCCCTGAGTCATGATGGGATGGGCCAAACCACCAAAAAGAAATAAGAAATTCCAAGGGCCGCCGGGAAGGCCATGAGCCAGGCTGCCAGTGACGCTAGTGACGCACCCACAAGTGCGCACGTGT